TCTTGACATTAGGAAGCTACCTATTGTCAGACGCGAGATCTCTGCTGCCTGGGGAGAATGGGCTGCCCACATGCCAGATAGACTGCTGGTCCAGGCTGGGGAAGTCTGTCCCCAGGTTGGCCAGCAGACAGCCCTGGAGGACAGACATAGCTGCATGAGCATCCTTGGCCCAGGAAGGTTCTCCATGGAGGAAACACCTTAGATTCATTAGCTGTGTGTCCTAAGTGAGACGAATAGGACAGTCCTTCCTTCCTCTGAGCCACATTTCTAACTGTGCTAAATTAAAGTCAAACACTTATGAAACACTGAGCTCTCTTTGGATCATAGAAAGTAAATACGGAAGCCACCACCCACAGGACCTTGTGGAAACCTGGCCACCCAGCCCTGGTGCCATAACAGCACAGGTACGTGACACCTGGATGTGTGTCTGCACGTCCATGTCTGAGCTGCCAGGGAGGCCTGGCTGGGCTGGAGCCGGGATCAGACACTTCCGGGGGCTGTGGAGTGAGGTGACTCCTCCGTTCCCAATCCATTTGGGTTGCAGGGATGCTGAGGAAGCTCCCAGGAATGTGCTGTAAACATCCCACAACTGTTCATACAAGTGCAGACGAGCCTCAGGGAAGGGACTGAGGCTGTGAAAAGGGAAGGGCACGTGGGGCTGACAAGAGGGCTTGACCAGTGGGGAGGGGCGTCTGGGAGATGGGGCAAGATGGAGGTTGGTGTGGGGTGGGGGGTGGTCCTGTGTGTGGGCATAGCCCTGAGCCAGCCTGCCTGAGGAGAGTGGGACGCGCGTTGTCACAGGCCACACCTCCCCGTGGTAGGCCCCACCACCAACCGGAGGAAGGGGGCTGTTTGCCACCCTGCAGACCCCAGAGAAGCATGCCGCGTTCTCTTGTGTTCATGGCCCTGAAGCAGTGGCCTCCTGGGTTGCTTCAACACGGAAGAGAGAGCTACTTTCTCAATTCCGTGGGGCCCTAAGGCTCGGCACCCCAGTGGAGGCCCCCACCGAGGGTAGCAAGAGGGAGGGTGAAGCCTCCCCCCACTGCACTGGAACGCCGCTGGCTGGAGCAGACTCCCAGGGTCTTCCTGAGGAAGAACTCTGCTACTGCAGAGTTCCAGCCTGAAGTGGGGACCACTGTCCACTAGGACCACAGCATTAGCCAGAGCCACAGAAGAACCCCCAGGGAGGGGCCTTGGCAGGGATCGACCTTCCTGCATGAGTGGGTGGGATTCTGGAGGGGCTGATAACTGAGAACCAAGTTAAATAAGACCACATTTGTCTCCCTGGGCTATCGGGATACATATGTATCAATAATAACAAAAACTAGCATTAAGTTCTCATTAATTGCTATACGCCTGACACTGTTCTGAGAACATCTCATGAATTAACTCGCTGAATCCTCATAAGCCCGTAAAGAAAGGTGCTGTTAACACCTCCACTTTGCACATGAGTAGGCGAAAAACACCTAAACAACTTGCTCAAGGTCACAAAGCTAGGAAGTGACCTTGACACAAATCATTAGAGAACATAAGTGCAATATATACATTTTGGAGGTCTGATACATACAGTCTTGTTGCAGCACCCTGATTCCACAGTGCCCGAGGAGGTTCAGGTTGGGCTGTGGCCTGTCCTCTTCCTTCTTTAGACACAGGGGGCTGGCAGGGGGTGTCAACAGAGGGGCTGGTCTTCTGAACCCCGAAGCAACAGCTAGGGGTATTGTTGTGTATGTACCACATCTCCAAAACATAGATAATGAATACACAATACCTCTAATGAATATACACTAGCTCTTCATTATTCACGGATTCCCTTTTACAAATTTCCTTACTCACTAAAATTTATTTATTAAACTCCAAAGTTAATAACCCCAGTACTTTCACAGTCTTTAGCTGACATGTGCGAGAGCAGAGCAGTGAAAATTTGAATCGCCAATGGTGACACTCTGCCCCCTCATTTCAGCTCTTAGACCATAAGTGTCCTTTCCTGGCCTATTTAGTACCCCATTTTCACATTTTCATGCTTTCTGTTGGTGATTTTGCTGTTTAAATGGTCCCCAAGCATAGTTAGGTAAAGAGGCCCAGTGTCCTAAGGGCAAGAGGCTGTCACATGCCGCGCAGAGAAAATATGTGTGGTAGATAAGCTTCATTCAGACGTGAGTTACGGTGCTGTTGGCCACGAGTGCGGTGTTAATGAATCACAATATATATCAAATAAGGTGTCTTTAAACAGAAACACCCTGAGCCAACCCTGAAGGCCTACTGGTTAAAGCTTGGCACTCAACACTTTGGCAGCCCAGGTTGGGCTTCCTGGTCGTGGAACCACACCACCCACCTGTCAGTAGCCATGCTGTGGTGGTGGCTCCCACAGAAGAGCTAGAAGGACTTAAAACTAGAATATGTAACCACCTACTGGGGAGATTTGGGGAGCAAAAAAAAATGAGAGACACAGCAAGGTCCATCAAGGACCATCAAGCAAGGTTGTGTACTGATCGGTTGATCAGAGGCCCTCAGGAAACTGATCTGAATTTCCCCCAATCGCAGTGGTTCAGGATTTGCTAATCCAGTGTTGATGACTTTATAGAACAGAACGCCAGTGAATACTGAGAACCGACTATTTATATTCTCAATATATAGAGTGAATATCTTATGAATATAATGAGTAAGTATATATTCCTCAGGATCCACTCTCATTACAGATGCAGCCGTACTTCTCTGGGCGGAGTGAAGAAGGGGCTTTTATCCATGAGACCAAGAGGACATGAGGACAAGAGGAGCTGACAGTCCCCTCTGTCCAGACTCTCCTGGGAGGAGCTCCATTTAGTGGGGGCCCATTATGCACCAAGCAGCTCACAGACATTATTTTTAATTCCCTCCATAACCCTCTTAGGGATGTAATGATTATCCATATTTTAAAAACAGAGAACCTGAAAATCTGAGAGATAAGAGACCCTCCCCAAGGGCACACACCTGGGATATCAACCCACAAGTGCACTGTGATGTCTCCTGAGGTTCCCTCTGCCAAAGAGCCGGCCAACCCTCTCTTGTAACTGCTTCTCAAAGCACCTTCATTACCTGAACCGGCCAGGTTCAGCTCCCGATGGGGACGACCGCTGCTGGGCCCTCTGCACCAAGCCTCGTCCTCCTGCCCGTCAGCAACGTCCCTGCCAGAGCCCTGCGGTGACAGTGAGTGCCTCTGGAGGGAGACAAGGAGATGACTCATCAGAGGAGGAAAGAGAGGGAGAAGGAGACAAGACAGAGAGAGACTACTGAAGAGAGAGAAGGAGAAAGAAAGGTTGGTCTTTCTGATGGGGGTGGGTTCGAATGTCACCACCTGTTGCTTCAGGGGCAGGACCCTCCAGTGGCCCACCCAAAGAAGGAGGAAAGGGAACAATACAAACCACCTTGGGTTGCCATGCCATTAACTGTAACCAACAGCATTGAGCAAGCAGGAGTAATGATATTTGAAACAGGTTAAAATGGCCTAAGAACCCCAAGCCCATGGCTGTGGCAATGCCACTGAAATTGCCTAAGAATCTATACTCAATTATCAGAAGGGCAACATCAGCTCAGTAATAGGTGCATTCGTGCATCAAAGGAAATTCTAAAGGAGGAAGTGGGATTGGGGGGGCAGGAGAAGAGAATTCCTGGGGAAGAGCGCCATCATTCCTGCACCCAGAGATTTGTGCCAGGTGGCCTACACACAGCCTGAGAACAAGAGGCATGAAGCCAAGAGCTCCTACCAAACCCAGCAGGCAAGATGGCCACATACAACATCATTCCGGGAGCAGAACCTCCAAACTCTGGGTCCAGGAGTGTTGGTACAAATAATTCACGTGGCTCCTGGTACCAGGGCCCGTCGTGGCTTTGCCTTTGGTGTGGCTGGGCCTGGCTGACTCAGGAACATGTCAACTCCACTGTGAGGACACACGGAAAGGGACACAGCGCTCTGTGATGAATACATGCACAAACACCAAGAGTGTGTCCCCACTGGCCGTTGGGCTTGAGTGTTTCAGAGCCCCCGTGTTCCAACAAGAGCCATTGTTTATTGAGCTTATGAGTGTGTTGAGCAAGATAAAGATGCAACTGTGACTTGAGGCCATATGCAGCCCCCTTCTCAAAGTAGGAGTCCTGAGAGGTGATGTGGGGCCAAATCTCTTCCTCCAAGAGAGACTTTTTAAAATTTCCACCTTTCAATGCAAAGCCAGTGCCACTGGTCCCTCCCCCACCCTGGAATGAGAGGCCCTGGATTTCCAAGGTGACGGGTGGACCATTGGGTGACACATTTGCTAAGCTAGTGGGCTCGGGCTGGAGGAGGGAGAAGTTGTAGAAAGACTGGCCTAATGTCATCCACCCAATACTCCCACCCAGGGCTAAAGAATGCCAACACCCCTTCCCATAGATGCAGAAAATATCTTTCATACAACAACCTTCCCACACGCTGGTACAGCCTTGAAGGAAGCTGTCAGCTTCCTCTTTGGAACAGCTTCAAATTGCAAGCCTGTTACTGCAGCCGCCCTCGGGCAGAGGGTCGAAAACACAGAAGCAAAGAGCTGGGAGAGCATTCTGAGCTAACCCAGCCAAGCCCCTCCCAACCCGCGTTAGGAACAGACGATGGGCTGTCTTGCATGCATTTCACATCAGGTGGTCTGTGATGCGTTTGATAAAAGTGGAGCAATTCTGTAATTGCACTGAAATTATATGTTACTCCAAGAGGTTTTTATGGCTAGTCATTTGAGTTTTTATACAAATGCTTGGGTATGGGTGTTGTAGCGTGACTGTAGATTCTGAAATTCACTTACATGCAGTACTTTATTGCTGCTGGAGTAGCCTGAACATACTAGATGAATTGTTGCTCTTAGAGTAAATGAAAGAGTATTAAAATTACACACACACTCACACACGGATACAAACACTCTCACACGTGTGCGAGCGAGCACACACACACACATAGGCTACTATCGCCACCTCTGTGTCAATGAAGCCAAAATGAAATTTAGCAGATTTTAAGAGTTTTCTTTATTTGAAGAAATTGTATGTTAAACCATTGAAAAAGACAAAAAGCAGATTAGGAAAACTCAGGAATTCAGGAAGCGTGAAATCTGAAACCGATAAGACGGTGAGAATTCTTCTTCTGTTTCAGAACATCCAGGGAGCCTGGTGGGTCCTCTGAAGGCACTGCCCCTTAATAGTGACAGTCTGGAAATTGAAAATGTGAGACGGTTGGTGGGAGTGCCAGAGAGCAGAGGGAGCCTGAGCTGGGAGGCACGTGGGTTCCTGTGATAACAGGCCATCTGCCCGGTGCTCCTACTGAAGACAGAGCTGTCCACCTGGGACACCGTCCCCCATGGCTAGAGTACCCTCCGGGGGCCCATTCTCCCCCAACAACTGTCAATTGTCCAGGTAGACCCTTAGGTCACATGAAAAATCACTTGGAAATTTCTGAAAGTAAGGGCCATGCTCTTTGGAGGACCCTGATATCCTAAAATTGCTAAACAAAATCATCCTTTGAGCATTAGAGCACTCTTCCCATTTTTTGGGAAATGCCTAGTCTTTCCTTGATCTTGCCAAACTCAGTGCCAGGAGACACACTATAACTAAGGGGAAGGGGGAGAGGGACTGGCCCTCTGGGATGGCACTGCAGCAGGCCACTGCAGGCAGAACTTGTCACATGAGGTCACATGCGAGAGAACAGTGAGGTCCACCAGAGAAGGCACCACGCCTGCTTTGTTCTGGGCCCCATCCTGGCACCCAGCACAGCGATGGCATTTGGTAGCATCCCAAAGTGGTGGCTGAGTTGCAGTAAAGTGGGCAATGCCAGCAAACTGTGCCAGGACCCAGGGCTGTGGCTGAGAATGAGGTGCTTTTTACAACCATCACAAAAGACACCACAGGAGTGCTGGAGTCTTAAAAATTATTGAAAAGAAGCTGCCATTGTTGAGAACATTCTGGAATTGCCTTCGGAGCTGGTTTACAATAAATGTAGGTTCACACATCAGTCTACTTTGTCCCTGAAATGGCCACTCACTGGCTTCCGGGGTCCTGGCCTCGGGTGGCATTTAGGTATCACGTCCAGCTTAGGACTGGAGGCAGCTGCCCTCTCCCCTCCCCCAGTCCCCACCTTCCCCGAGAAATCCCCCAGGTCCAGGAACCAGATGGCGGGCTCGTCCTGTGGGGCATTACCTTCCACAGAGAGTGGGTAGAAACACCAGGGCACTTGACGGATGGTGTCGGAAAAGCAGCAATTCCGAGACGCACACTCCTCAGAACTGATGCCCGGGAAACCACAGTTCACGCGGGCCGAGACTTCCATGATGCACTCCTGGTTCTCTGGTCACGCGTCACCCGGATTTGGGAAAGGAACGACGTGGAGACTCAGTTAGACCAGCTAATTAACTCGAAGCTTCTATTCCCATCTTCCCACGAGAAGGCGGCTGGATTTACAGCCTCGGCGTATCATGAGGGACTTCTGGGACCGAAACACCAGGGACTGTTTAAATGTTGATGCCAGCGGTCGGCCACCCCTTCCTCCCCGCAGATGTCCCAAGTCAGAAAATCTGAAGGACTGGGTCTTGGGAAAATCATTTCGCCTCTCTGGACTCAATATTCCCCTCTGTAAAATGGAGGGGGAGGGCACTGTGCCATGATGAGAAAAGGCTGGTGAGCATCCTTTAAGGATGTAAAGCATTGGCCAAAGTATTGAAACCCAATAATATTTCCAACAGAGGGAGAGCCCGGCCAACAACCAACCTAACAACCAACCCAACGACCAGCTTAACGACCAACCTAACGAATGACCCAACGGCCAACCTAACAACCAACCCAATGACCAACCTAAGGAACGACCCAACGGCCCACCGTCAGCCTTGCTTCCTCAGAGCCCAGGGAGCCTCTGACTGCTCAACGCCGGGGGTGTGGGCGAGAGGCGTGAGTGCCATACACACGGGTGTGCTTCACACAGACACATTCTTCTGTGCACGGCTTGGGATTAACGACTTTCTATCTTGATTATATGCACTGATATAAAATTCATTCTCCAAAGATAAGCCTAGAAGTCTTAATTTCTTCACACTTGAGGTCTGATAGCAGTTCTGTTAATAATGTCCTATTAAATGCCTTTGTTTCCCCCTTAGAAGCTTCTTCAGAAGCCATACTTTTAGAGCTCAGAGGGGCCTGAGAGTTGTTTTCTCTTCAACTCAGTAGAATGGATGGGTTCTCACAAATGTCTGCGGAAAGCGCAAACAGCTGACCCCCAGGGCTCCGGGTGTGGACACTGGCTGGGGGCACGTTTTCTCCTCCCTTGTGGCTGGCCTGGGCGGTGTCTACGAGCACCGTGAAGCGGGTGCCGGGTGGCCGACCAGGGGCCCAGGAAGAGAGTCCGGTGCCCCTGCAGGTTACCTTGCTTCGGGAGGGGATCGAAACACCAGGGGACGTTGCGGATGGTGGAGTCGAAGCAGCAGCCGTTGGAGAAGCAGTCGTCGCTGCTGATGCCCGGGAAGCCGCAGTTCGTCCTGTTCTTGGGGCTGATCCGTGAGCACTGACAGGCAGCTGTGAAAAGACCCTCAGTCACCCGCTTCCCCCACTCGCTCCCTGCCTGCTCTCAGGGGCACATTCAGGACACCTCCGTCGGTCCTGCTGCCACACGGAAACAGCCAAGTCTCACCTCACCTGTGTTTGAACTACGCAAGGTCCTTCTGAGGAACTGACAGGGCTTTGCTGAAATTATTTTATTAGTAAAAGAAAAAAGAAAAGCCTTCTAGAAGGAGGGTGGACCGATGGCCCCAGGCAAAGGTCAAGATGAATGATGAGCAAGATGAGAGGACCTCTCGCCCTGGCAGCTCGCCCACCAGCACCTGGGGTCATCCTGATCTTTTCCCGAAGGAAACCTTTCTTGGAGGTCTCATGGACCCCTGGGTATCCTTCCCGAATGGTGGGAAAGCCCGTGTGAATGTAAGCAGGAGCTGGCTGTGTGGCCAGCATCACAAATCTCAGGATGCCTTTTTCACTACCTCCCCTCTCAAGTTAACTCATCCTCCACCTTTTCATTGGAGGGAAACAAACGAGAATAGAGACACACCAAGGGGCGAGGGAGGCCCTGCAGAAAGCAAGGAACTTGCATGCCCTCCTTGCATTTGGGGGCACTAGAAGGTTCTCAGGGCTCGCTGGCCCAAATGCTCCCTTGCCCAGTTGAGGACACTGAGCTGCGGAGGGTTACTTACGGACATTCACTTACAAGGTTTCTCGGCCATGGCCAGAGCACACAGCCCCAGGACAAGGAGCCCTGCCAGGAGACGGATGCCTTGGGATCCCATGTCCACGCTCAGCTGCACCCCACGGTTGCCTGCAGAATGCACAGCTCCCACTGCCGGGGGGGTTTATAATCCTCTCTCTGTTTGCTCAGCAATCACAGGTAACCTTTCTCCCCCATGACACAACCCTTTTGATCCTTTGTTAGGAAAGGAGCTGAGATAGCTCGCCAGGAGGTCAAGCACAGACCAAGTGGCCATGATGTGCAGGTGAAGCTTCCGGGCCAGGGGTGCCGTGCTCCCTGCACGCCAGCGTGGCCTCCCCCTGCCCCGGGCAGGCAATGGTTGTGCCAGATTGCCGACGTGGAAAACTGGCCACATGCACCTCTGACGCTGGGCACTCACAGGGTCACACCCAGGAAGGGATAAGTCATGTATTTCTCCTGATAAAGTACATGCCTACCACAGGAATTTTGTAAAATATTGGGCTGAAGGCTACTGGGGAATATGGCCCTGCCAGCTGGAGGTATAGAAAGGACCCCTCCTCCAGGGCTGCACAGACACCTCTCTTAGCCCCTTGTCTGCATCTCCTTGTCTCCATCTTGGGAAGGAGGCTGCTCTCCATGGAGATGAGGCTGACTCGGTGAAAGGAGCAGCCTGGGGTGAGTGTAAATTAATAAGGTCATTTGAGCAAACCCCTGAAATTCCTTATTTTTTTTTCTTCCATGGAAACTGTCTGCATTCCCTAAAAGATGGCACCTGTAAACCCACCTATGCCCAGAGGTAAGATGCTCCAGGGAAGGGAGTCGGTGGATGGGGCAGAAGGAGAGGAGAGAAGCCAGAGGGAAGACCCCCACCTCCCTGCAATGGAGGAAAAAGGAAGATGTGGCAGGCAGCAGAGAGGAGATCGTAAATTCTCCACCGTCAGAGGACTTAACAAGAGATCGCCAATCTGTAAATCGTGGGTTGAGCAGCCAGGGACGCAAAGATGCATGGAACCTAAAACCCTGAGTCCTCAGGATCTAGAGAGTAGGGCTCCATGCTCCAGGGCTTCTGCCGGATCCAGCTCTAGCCCCTGCAGACTGGATCCCTGACTATCTACCCACTGAGCAACCACAGGGACGCCATCCTTTAAAAACCTTGAAAAGTCAACTTTCCCCATTCCATGTCCCTGTCCCTTAATCACCACCAAGACATAAGGACCCTGCATCACCCGTTCTCTCCCAAATTCTCATCCATACTCTCCTCCCCGCTTCCTCCACCTTGACCCGACTTTCCCCCGCCCCCATCCTGGCCCTTCCAGGATTCCCACTGAAACCACTGGATCCATGCCAAAGAGACTGCTCGTCATCCTTCACCCCTAATTCTCCCACCTCTCCTGGCCCTAACGGAAGCCTGCATCTTCCCTGAGAGGCTTCCCTTGCATCCACCTCAGGTGGAATGCTCAGGCCCCCACCCGGGGCACCAACCGCCTACACAGTGCTTTTGTGCTAATTAGAAAGAGGCTCATTGTCTTTAAGACAAGTAACTTCCACCTGTGGGGAAATCCTTATAATAGAGGTCTACAGTGTGATTGGCACCCTACCCGAATATGGAGCCACGCACACAGCATAGCCGCTACAGCGGTACTGGGCGGCCACACTCCCATAACATGAGCTCAGGCCGGGGGCGGGACATTGACCTTGCGCCCCAGTGTCTTCGCTCTCATGCAAAAACCATGCTCCTTGGAGACGCAGGCTTTGAACTGTCCCACTCTCGATGCCCCTGCCCTGCTGTCGCCTACTGTCCTTCGGCCTGTCTCCTTTGTTAAGGGTTTTAGCGCTGAGTTCACTGTATTCCCCGTCACACCGAGACTTAGCAACATTCAGCCCTCCGGTGGAAGTCTCATTGAAATTCGTAGTTGCTCAGGTTTTTATTCCTCCTTATCTCTAGAAACTTCCATTCCTACCCTTCTTGTGCCACTTCCTCCCGTGACTGCACTCAGAACTCATGCCCCACCTCAGAAAGAGGACCTCCAGATGTGTCTTCTGTTCAGGATGTCCTAAGCTTCTAACATCCTCTGCTACTCCCACCACACTTCTCTCTAACTCCTGGAGCTCTCTAATCCCTTAAGCCCTCTGCTTTCCCTCCGTGAGCACCGTCGTCTCTACCCTTCCCTCCTTCTGCAGCCTGGTTTCCACGGTCCCCAGTCCGTCCACTCTTCCCACTTCTGTGTTCATCAGGTGCACGCATTTGTCTACCGTCTCCAGGCCCACCCACCTGCTGAGCGTGTCTGAGGCATGCCATCGATGGCTGCCGCGGCACAAGCATGGTCTCAGGTCCATCCCGGTCCTCAGTGGTATTGCAATTCTTTGTGGCTATCCCTCTCCACCCCCTTCTCACTTCCATTCTGCACCCTTCAGGCGTGATGCTGTCTATCAACAGAAGTCAACAGGGGCAACTCCCTCAAATATCACCCACGTGGACGGTGCTTCTGTTATGGAGTAACTGGTACCAGATGACCCCTCCTACCATAAGTCACTCTAAAACTATATGAAATAACTATTTGCAGATGTTGAGCAACAGGCAGTGCTGGACGGAGAGGGAAGCACTGTGGGGAGTCCCCCGACCGCCCTTGTTTTCTGCCTGGGGATACTGTTGGGGTGACAGCACACAAAGAGAGGCTGCACAGAGCATGGCAGGCTCCCTGGGCTGAGGAGACGGGGGCTGGAATTGGAAGCCACTGAGGCAGTGGGTTTTCAGGGTACAGGACCAGAGAAGAGGGAGCTCAGAAATATGAATGGGGGTCTCCCTTGGGTTTTAGTCAAATACTAAGCTGCCTGTGCTCACAAGGCAGAAACAGCTACTGAGTTAAAACAGCCGCTGAGGAGACTGAACGGAACAACTGTGGGGGCTGTCACAGGGCTGGAGTAAGCTGAGTCCTGATCAGCCAGAGGGGAGAAGACTTGTTGGCCACTCAAGCATTCAGTAGGAACACAGAGGCCATGCCTTGTCTAAGTCAGGTTGGGCTGCCAACACAAAATACGACAGACTGGGGTGCTTAACCAATAGAAATTTATTTTCTCACAGTTCTGGAGGCTGGAAGTCCAAGATCAGGGCATAGAATGGTTTGTTTCTCTTGAGAGCTCTCTTCCCGGCCTGCAGATGGCGACCTTCTCACTGTGTCTCCACATGGTGGAGAAAGAGAGCTCTTGTGTCTCTTCTTATAAGCAAGTGGATCCCACCGTGAGGGCCCCACTTTCATGACCTCATCTAACCCTAATCACCTCCCAAAGGCCCCACCTCCAAATACCACCACATTGGGGGTTAGGGTTTCAACATATGAATTTTAGAGGGGCACAAACAGTCCATAATACGCTTTAAGAGTAGGCTTGATCTAGTTCTGGAATAAAGGCACTTTGTACCCATTCTAGCAAAACTTTAAAACAAATCTTGAAGGGATCAAGTTAATTTGCAAGTAAGTTGACCGCCTAACAGAACAAAATTCATCATTTTGTTAAGGAAGACAACAAAATACAGACGTATAACATAGCATTCATGATGTTCAACACAAAATTAACAGTTACTAGACATGAGAAGAAGCAGAAAAACGTGACCCATAATCATTAGAAAAATTGGTGAATAAAAAGACCCAGAAGCAGTGTAACATGTTCATATATTTAAAGACAAATATAAAACTATAATGAGAGAACCAAAAAAAAAAAATCTGAATAGAGAAATGGAAACTAAAAATGAACCAAGTGGAAATTCTAGACATGAAAAATACAATACCTGAAATGAGAAAGTCACTGTATGGGCTTTGGATTAGATACGGGAGAAGAAATGGCTGGTTTATTTGAAGCCAATGCAGTATAAACTCTCTAAAGTGAAGCATAGAGAGAAAAGAGCCTGCAAAAAATGAAAAGAACCTCAATGACCCATGAGACGGTGTCAAGTAGTCTAAGGTACATGTGATTGGTGCACCAGGAGGAGAGGAGAGAAGACGTATTTGAAGAAATCACAGACAATTTTTTTGCAAACTTGAGAAATATAAACTCACATATCCTAGAAGCTCAACAAACTCCAAGCAAGATAAATACAAAGAAAACCATGTCAAGGCACAGCATGAGCAAATTGTTGAATGTAACTGATTAAAAATATTCTTATAGCTGCTGAAGAAAAGCCACAGTGTATACAGAGAGCATAATAAGAATTATGTGTGACTTCTCATCTGAAACTCTGCAAGCCAGAAGGCAATAGAATGATGATTTTAAAGAGCTAAAAGGAAAAGAAAACCTTGTCAAGTCAGAATTCTATGCTCAGTGAAAACAACCTTCAAAAATAAGTGCAAACTTATTTTAAAAAACAGCTTTAATTTTTTATAGCAGTTCTAGGTTCACAGCAAAATTGAGCAGAAGGTACAGAGATTTCAAAATTCTTTTTTTTTTCTTTGGCAAACCAAAATGGAGAGAGTCTGTCACTTACAAACCTGTTCTCCAAAGAATTTTAGAGGAAATTCTTCAGGCTGAATTTGTAGCAGTCCTGGGCTGCGGGGTATGTGTTCTCCAGGTGGCTACAGCCAGTTTCCACCCGGTAGGGGGCTTTATTCACTTATGCTTGGCCTCTGTAAGCATTTGTGTTTACAACCCATTCTGGTCCTCGTGATTTCTCATTTGGTTAGCTACGACTGTCTCCTAACTAGTTGCTTAGCCACAAACAGTTTTGTTCCCATCCAGACAAAATTCTAGTGCCTTAGCTATCTTTACAAAATGAAAATCTATATAGGTCGCTCCCCTGACGCTCCCTCACTCCTCATGGCCTGTAGGGTAGAGACCAGACTCCTGAGTAGGAAAAGGAAGACCCTTGATGAGCTGGACCGCACTCACCCCTCCGTCCTCTTCTATTGCTCGGTCTCCCTCCTACTGTAAGCATCTTGCACTTCTCTAAACACAACCTCATCTTTGTCCCTGTGTCCCCCTTCTCTCTGCAATACTCTTCCTCCGTTCTTTGCCTTGCTAACTCCTGTCCATCCATCACCTCTTAACTCAGGAGTCACTTCTTCCAGGAAGGCTTCCTTTACTGCTCTCAGAGTGAAGACAGGTGCCCTTCACCCTCCCCCAAGCACCCTTTGTTCACCTGATTCAAACACATTCAAAAAATGTAGCCACACCTACAT